CCTTCTTCCTCTATTCTTCCTTCCATGTAGGCTCGCTTCCCTCGCCCTGCACCCTACCAATCTCCATCCTACCTCCTCCCCATCCCCTCGGTCGCCGCGACCTCTTCTACCGCAGCTCCCGTGCAGCCTGCCGCTGCTTCCCCCGCCGCTCCACCATGCGGCCCGGGCGTACAGTCAGTTGCGCCTCCTCCTCCTCCTCCAGGACCTGCGCTGACTTATTCCGCCGTAGCGCAGTCCCCTGCTTCGCGTTCCCCTCGCCGCCAAAACGGTGGCACACCACTCATCCGCTTGTCGGACATCCCCTTGTATGACGGTACAGGCATACGCGTGTCTAGGTGGCTGCAGGCTGCCACCCGCACGCTCCAGCTCATAGGCGCCACACCCGACACATGGGTGGGTCACCTCTCCATGCGCCTGCATGGTGCTCCTTTCGACGCCTGGGAGGATTTCTATGCTTACTCCCTGCGTGAGGGTCGAACTCCGACCTTCATGGATTTCCAGGCGTTCCTCGAGGATCGCTTCGGAACCCGATATGACGTGACTGACGCCTTCGAGCGTGTCGTCACTACACGCTGGTCCGGCTCTGGTGGCGCTGCCGGCCTGGATCGCCACATCCAGGTCTTTCAGGACGCCCGCCTCGTTTGTGACGTGGCGTTCCTTCCCGAGGATGCCCTTATCGATTGTTTCTTGGCCAGCCTCCCGCTAGAGTACCGCTCCGAGCTATGGCGAAACGAGTTCACATCGGCCCCACAAGCTTACGAGGCCGCCAGGGACCATCAGCGAATGCGAGCCCGTCTTTACCCCGCCTCCTCCTCCCAGCCCCAGCGCACGGGCTACGCCTCCTCCTCCTCTCACAACACTTCCCAGCGCCGTTCCCCTTTCCTCGGTCGCCCCCGCCGTTCCACGCAGCAGGGCCGCCACTTCTCGCGCCGCTTCAGCGCGCTGGAGTATGGTGAGCAGGACGTTGTTGCCCCACTGTCACCTGAGGGCGACCACAACGACGACCTCGATCTCTGCGAGGCCGTCCACTATCACTTGGAGGACTCTACCCTCCCTGCAGCTGAGCGCCTTCAGCTCGCGCTCACCGCCCTCTCTCGGGCACGCAGCCGCCTCGGTCACGCTAGCACGTCGCCCCCGAGGTCCCTCAGGAGGACCTCCCTCAGGGCTTCGTCCCTCCTCGTGGTGTTCTTTCCCCTGAGGAGCGCGCGGCCATTCTGGGCCGACGTGGGTGTTTGCGCTGCCGCTTGGACGGTCATACCTCCTCGCGGTGCCCTTACATTACTGCCCTCGACCGCCACTACGCTGACCTTTCTCGTCAGCGTCGTGCTCAGTCCCCCCCCGGCGCCTCACGTCCCCGCGGCGCATCCTAGCCACGGTG